ATGAATCTTTTTTTCTTTTCTCTTTTTAAAAATACTACTCCCACTATGAATTCCTAGGGTCTTCAGGACCTCAGGCCAGAAAAAGCTTGGTGAGCTCTTCACTCAGATGTCCCTAGCCTCAGAAGTACCAGAAGTGCTGCCTTCCCCCCCATGCTGTGTCCTGGGTTACTATGGCAAAGCTTGTGCATAGCTGAGCTCTTTACTTTATTTCTGCTATTCCTTCTCTGTCCTTGCTTCCTCCCTCCCTGGGAACCAGGGGCAGAAGAAGGGGGATGAGGTGGGGGCAGGCTGCCCTGGATGTCACCACTGAGGAGGGTGATAAAATGCCAGGCGGCACTCATCACGGGGCCTGCAGCGCGCCCAAGCCATGCATCTCTCCTGGGAGTGACGCGGTGGCTTGGGCACCAGCAGGCTCTGCGCTGCCCCAAATGGTCTGCCCACTGCCTTCCCCTTAGCTGTAGGGTGGTTGAGTGGGAGGAGGTGGGAAGACTCCTCAGAGGCCCTGCAGAGCGTCCTGCCCTGGCTGGCCCCGCCCCTGGGCGCAAGACATGCACAACGCCTCAGGTGTCTGATTGGCTTACTCTGCCGCTGCTGGGAACCTCTCAAAATGCGGTGCTATCACACTTCTATCCCCCAGCTCACCAAGTGTCTTTCCTCCCATGGGACAACTCCACCCAGTGCCTTCTGGTCTGCTTTGTTCACAGATGCAACTGTCATAAAGGGTAAAGGGGACCCCTGACCATTAGTTCCAGTTGTGATCAACTCTGGGGTTGTAGCGTTCATCTTGCTTTATTGGCCGAGGGAGCCGGTGTACAGCTTCCAGGTCATGTGGCCAACATGACTAAGCCGCTTCTGGTGAACCAGAACAGCGCACGGAAATGCCGTTTACCTTCCCGCTGGAGCGGTACCTATTTGACATGCTTCCGAACTTCTAGGTTGGCAGGAGCAGGGACTGAGCAACGGGAGCTCACCCCATCGCAGGGATTCAAACCACCAACCTTCTGATCGGCAAGTCCTAGGCTCTGTGCTTTAACCCACAGTGCCACCCCTGTCCCCGCAACTGTCATAGGAGCCAACTAATAGGATCTGAGGTCCCTTCACCCCCCCTAAAATATTTGAGAGGGCCGCCACTGCCCCCCAAGTTGATGGACATTGCCATTCAAATGGTATGGGTGAGCCCCATCATATGATAGATGGTGTGGGTCAGGGCTTTCCTGCTGACCATTGGGCTGACAGCAGGACTGGGGATCAGCTGTGCTGGGCACTCAGAATGTCAATGTGTCCTGGAAATCAATCCATGATACCTCTAGAATGCCATAAGGATACAATAGAAATGTGCTTTGTAAGAAATCTGAACTTGGCTGCAATAGGGTGTGGGTGGGGATCTGATTCTTATACAGAGCAGATACTTCACTTTGCAAGACAATTTTTGGAGTGCAGATCTTTGAGCCAGTCCCTAATCAAGTTCTGCACGCAACGTTCACTCAGATTAAAATCTTCTAAATGGTCGTACTTAAGCGTTGCACAGGCCAGCCATGCCAAACCGGCTGTGCCCACTGTGAATTTTCATTTGCAATGTATTTGGCACCTCAGCTGCATACAGTTTGATCTGCAATGTTTGCAGCTGGATCTGTGGAAAAGACCCGACCATGATGCTAAACAGATCAGCAATGCTTTCCTCCCTGCTAATGCCATGTACAAAACAGAGAGCAAATTAGATGCCTCTGTTACTAAACATTTCAGCTCAATCAGCCCAACTCAGGGCAGCTTCACCTGCCAGTAATTTACAGCCATGAACAGAATACTATATACACACTGGGTATGAAGTGGATAGAGATAAATTTTATCTCCTCTCAAAATAGTAGAACCTGGGGCTATCCAAGGAAGCTGAATACTGGGACAAACAAAATGAGGGACTTAATTAAATTATGGTATTGTTACCAGAAGATATAGTGATAGTCACCAACATGGATGGCTTTAAAATGGGATTTGATCAGTAGTGAGCAGAAGGTAGATTGGGATCTTCTGCTAGAATTCAGTGGGTTTTAACATATCCCCACATTCTGCAAAACAGTGGCAAGGAGCATGAATTGCATGTGCTAAGTCATGATCTTTATGGAAGCCAAAGTGTTATGAAGCTGAGCATTAAGTCCATGTCAGTGGCCCTTGAAAGTCAATCCAAGATGAGGTTAATATGTCATGAAGATACAATAGAGATATATTCACTAAGAAATTTGATATCCTCCCTGCAAAGATTGCACAGGTTCTGCGGCATTTATTTAGCACCAATAGTGCATCTGATGCTTTTGCAAGGCCATAGGAAAAAAAATACAATCAAAGGGTTAATGGTAGTTCCCCAACTGTACAGATACAATAAATTCATTCTAAAACATCACGAAACACCCAGAGATAAAAATGTACAAAACTTTTGTAATAAATGCTGCCTGTTAAACAAAAAAGAAATCTAGTACATTGCTTATCAATAATACATTTCCTAGAGTGAAAGACAGTCTTTGTTAATATAGTGAGCCTGCAGTGAGTAATATTGAAATCTTGAATGAATCACTTCAAATGTGGCTCAAATAGGGATGCTGCAGTAATCTGCCATGATCAATTTGTAACACAGATACTGTAGTTCAGCTGGTAAGGACAAGTATCCCCATTTCTTATGTCCAATTCAATCTGATTTCATTTCCATCCATCAGGGAGAAAGTGTTGATAGCCCGAAACTTAAAAACTTGTTCGTGCTGCTTGGAGCGGGGAAATAGATGTAGCTGGTTGCACAACATCTTGTCCAAGCTCAGAGATATGGGTACACACAAGCTACAAAAAAGCAGCAATGAAACTGATAAGCCATGCCTTTCTGCAGGCAGTTCAAAGAAATTCCCTCAGTGTCTACAAAAAGTTGAGGAGAGGTTGTCAGTTTCATTTCTCTGGCGAAGAGACCTCTGGACTCAGACTTACCAGTTTTGCTGCTCTTTTCGGCCTTTATTTTGAGGAGTCTGGACTAGATAACGCAGAGGTAGGAAACTGGATCCGACTGTGGAGACAGATCTTTACCTCTCCCCTCCCATGAGCCATGTTTGACAGGTGGGTGGGGCTGGCCACCTATCAATCACTGGGCATCACAGGGACAACAAGGTCACCTGTTTTTGCTCCATGTGCTAGGGTTGCCATACACCCAGAATTTCCCAGATATAGCTGAGATTCAGGGCAGAAAGCTCTGAAGTGTCCAGATTTTCATTTTTTAAAATATGGCAACCCTCCCATGTGCTGATTTGATTGTTGGGGCTTCGAAGCAGCACATACAACTCCTTGCATGTGCTAACAATCAGCTACAAATCCCGTCTTGGTCCAGACCTGTCTTTCCTTGCCCCACACATGATGTAAAATATGACATGAGGTGTAGGAGAAGTGAATGTGTCTTCACGAAAACAGCCTCATGGGTCAAATGATAATTAGGTTCATGGGCTGGAGGTTCCCCACCACTGCTTAAATGTTGCGAATTTGTGGATATCTATGGTTATCTATGATGCCCTCAGATGCAACAGCAATAAATAAATCCTGTTTGAAGCCATAACTGCTGATGGGGCTGCCCCACTGGAGTGCAGTTAGACCAACATTAGCCGCTATAACACCTGAAAGGCTAAGGGAGATAACATACCATATTGACACTTCTCAGAATTTTTGTCTTGATACTTGCAGCCTCCTTTGGAGGAGGGAAGAGAGAGACAGCAGCGAGCCAGCAGCCTGGCGAGAAGATCTCCTATAAGATCTCTGAACTATTTTTAAGCTAGTGGTGGATAGAGATGGGGAATAAATTTAATTTAACTCAGTTCCCATTTAAATTCACCCTTTCTAAAACCTTCAAAAGTCACAGTTCTCCAAATTTTGTGATGCAGTTGTGGAGGCCCATTCACAACATGAAGAGTGCAACCCGCAGCAGCGCGTCTGTGCACATGCGGGTTGCAATTTGACGCTTCTGTGCATATGTGTGATGTCATTTTGGGCTTCTGTGCATGCGCGAGCGGCGAAACCTGGAAGTAACCCTTTCCAGTTCTTCCAGGTCACCGCGGGACGTAACCTGAAAGAACGTAACATGAAGCAAAAGTAACATGTGGTATGACTGTATTGTGAGAAATGTGCACCGACGTTAATACATTAGTGAAAATAACACACTGAAATTGCTTGCAAAAATGTGTTCATCAGTGCAAATGTGATATAAAATGTGTTTATTGGAGAAATTTGCACTAAAATGTTGAAGAAATTTCATTAGGATTTTAAAAAAAAATGGAAATTGTTGCAAAAATGTAGAGAACTGAATTTAGTATTGGGAAAATTAGAAACCGAGAGAAATGAAATTGACAGATTCTTCCATCCCCCGCAAAGGAAGACCTGACTAGGAAACCTGTAATTGCCAGTTTCTGACAGAAGCATCAACCAGCCTTAGAAGACTATTGGGACAGCCTCACACTTCCCTTCCCTGGCAAGATTGGTCAGTGGGGGGGGGGGGGGGAGCAATGCATGCCTGACACCCCGGGCAGGGGCATTGCCACTCACTGGGAAAGAAAGAGGGAGGGAAAAGCCACTGTGTGGGCAGATTGGCAGAAGTGCTGTTGGTTCTGCTGGTGTGGCAACACAACATAATCCTCTCCATCTTGTCTCTCTCCCAGTAAATGGGACTGCTGCCACTACTATAGGGTTACCAGATGTCCCCGTTTCCCAGGGACAGTCCCTGGATTTGCAAATAAGTCCCCAGACAAATTCCATCCCTGGAATGTCCCCAGATTTCATCTAATGTCCCTGGGAAACACAGAAGCGGCAGTCTCAGCAGTTGGCTCTGGCTGGCTTCAGGAGCTGCTCGGAAGTCCCCATATGATGGTGGTGCAGGGGCTCTAAGATGCAGCTTCCAGGCTGCCTCCACCTTCCCTGACCCCAGCAACTAAGCTGTGAAGGGAGGCTTCATGCTGCCTATCGGAGCAGCCTCCCAACTCCTACTTGCATGCAAGCAGGAGCGGGGCAGGGATCTCTCAGCTGCGAAGGGAGGCTTCATGTTGCCTATCAGAGCTTGTGTGCAAGCAGGAGGGGGCAGGGATCTCTCAGTTAGGCAACGGGAAATCTCCCTTCCCAGCTGAGGAATCCCTGCCCCCTCCTGTTTGCACGCAAGTAGGATTGGGATTGGGGCTGCTCCAATGAGAAGGGAGGCATTGCGCTGCCCGAGCCTTGCAGCTGCCACTGCTCTTGGCCCTCCTTCTCTGCCTTCCATGCCTGACCCACCACCCACCACTTCCCCACCACCACCGAAGAACCAACAACTCAGGGGCTGCCCAGGCTCATGGAGAAATGAGATAGAAGTCTTGGAGGAAGGGGTTGAAGTCAAGGAGGCAGCTGCCCCTCTGCCACTGCCATCGCTGCAGCATCAACATCCCGAACATGAAGTATGTATGTATGTATGTATGTATGTATTTAAAGTGCCCCGGATTCACTGAAAAAAATCTGGTAACCTTACACTACTAGGAGGGGGGCAGGTGCCTCCACAGCTCCTCCTGAGAGGCTGCTCTTTTTCCCTGGAGCTACTTAATACCTGTGTGCCCTCATGAAAGACAAGAAGCAATGCCACCTGGCCCAGGGGAGACATGACCACCAGCTCCTGAACTAAGCCTGAGAGTATTTGGTAGCATTTGCAGCCTTTTAATATTTACATTGTAAACCACCTTGGGTGCCTTGGCAGAAAGGTGTCATATAATGCAACAAACAAACAAACAAACAAACAAACAATCCCTGCCTCCTTGGCACTGCCCCATATGTACACACACACATGGTAGCACAGTTCATTCTATCCCTGTAGGATGCTATCACTTCATTTTGCCAAATGTGTGTTGTTGTTGTTTAGTCATTTAGTCGTGTCCGACTCTTCGTGACCCCATGGACCAGAGCACACCAGGCACTCCTGTCTTCACTGCCTCCCGCAGTTTGGTCAAACTCATGCTGGTAGCTTCGAGAACACTGTCCAACCATCTCATGCTCTGTCGTCCTCTTCTCCTTGTGCCCTCCATCTTTCCCAACATCAGGGTCTTATCCAGGGAGTCTTCTCTTCTCATGAGGTGGCCAAAGTATTGGAGCCGCAGCTTCAGGATCTGTCCTTCCAGTGAGCACTCAGGGCTAATTTCCTTCAGAATGGATAGGTTTGATCTTCTTGCAGTCCATGGGACTCTAAAGAGTCTCCTCCAACACCATAATTCAAAAGCATCAATTATTTGGCGATCAGCCTTGTTTATGGTCCAGCTCTCACTTCCATACATCACTACTGGGAAAACCATAGCTTTAACTATACTGACCTTTGTTGCCAAATGTGTAGATGAGGCCAAAGCTCATTTGAAAAATGGTTGTGTAAGTCAGGGGTCAGCAAACTTTATCAGCAGGGGGCTGGTCCACTGTCCCTCAGACCTTATGGGGGGATGGGCTATATTTTGAAAAATAAAAATAAAAATGAACGAATTCCTATGCCCCACAAATAACCAAGAGATGAATTTAAAATAAAAAGACACATTCTACTGATGTAAAAACACGCTGATTCCCGGACCGTCCACAGGCCAGATTTAGAAGGCGATTGGGCCTGATCTGGCCCCCGGGCCTTAGTTTGCCTACCCAAGATATAAGTGATGCCTACTTCTGTATCTAACTTGAGATTATCCTCCAGGGCCTCTCAAGCCTCCGGAAGAAGGCTCACGAACTGTGGCATTCATTAGAGCATCATTTTCATAGCCTGCCTTCTCTCCTCAGTATTTTTGATCTTGCCTAAGACTTCGTGCATCTTTTTAGGAATGCTTTCTGCTTAATTCACAGCTTATAATTTTCTTGATTTTGTCTGATTAAGCGAGACCTTTAATGACATTTCCAATTTTATTTTTTTTAATTTTATTTTTATGTTGGGTGACGATTTAAGGTAACGACCTATTTGCTATACTGAAAGCAACGGAGACAGAACTTACCAGATCTAATTATGCAGTTTGCAAATGTGACAGCTCAGATTTTGCTGGCGCACGAGTCTCTGTGGTTAAATTAAAAGTATAATGACAGTAATTACATTAATTAGCCTTTTTCCAGTTTGTTGCTAGCAAAGGTTCCCCCCTCCTCTTTTTTGCATATTTACATGAGTAACATCTACTTTGGTTTCTCACTAAAAAAAGGCTACTGTAACTAAACAGCTGATTTATCATAGGTCTTTTAATTCATGAGTTATGTTCTGAGAGAGAAGGAAGATGCCAAAAAAGAAAGGATTAACATCTCAACAGTTGCTTTCATAAATTATTGAAATGCACAGCCTGGAATCTGTAACACTTAAGATATTTAACCAGACATGTGGTGAGATACATAAGGAAAGCCACAAGCACCACTGTGCGACATAAGACACAAATTGCTACATGAGTTTGCTGTGCAAAGGATGTAACTAGAGCTATCTCTTTAACCCGTACTGGTGTTCTAGCGGAGGAATACAGATGGGGATGACAAGGCCGTGCATCTGCTGATCACATACAACCCAAGAGGAGCTCCCCTGGCAAGAGCTCCTTGGATCTCCTCCTTTTTGCCATTGTTCATCCACTCCTCTCTTGCTCTGGCCTGGACAACACTAGTGGCTAGTGGCTAGTGGCTATTTATTTATTTATTTATTTATTTATTTCTACCCTGCCCATGGGACACGGGTGGCGGTGTGGGTTAAACCACAGAGCCTAGGACTTGCCTATCAGAAGGTCGGCGGTTCGAATCCCTGTGATGGGGTGAGCTCCCGTTGCTCGGTCCCTGCGCCTGCTAACCTAGCAGTTCAAAAGCACGTCAAAGTGCAAGTAGATAAATAGGTACCACTCCGGCGGGAAGATAAATGGTATTTATGTGCGCTGCTCTGGTTCGCCAGAAGCAGCTTAATCATGCTGGCCACATGACCCGGAAGCTGTACGCCGGCTCCCTTGGCCAATAAAGCGAGATGAGCGCCGCAACCCCAGAGTCGGTCATGACTGGACCTACCCCGCCCATCTTGCTGGGTTTCCCCAGCCACACTGGGCGGCTTTCTAAAAAACATTAAAAACAGAACAAAACTTCAAACATAAAAAACTTCCCTGAACAGGGCTGCCTTCAGATGTTTTCTAAAAGTCAGATAGTTGCTTATCTCCTTAACATTTGATGGGAGGGTGTTCCACAGGGTGGGCACCACTACCAAGAAGGCCCTCTGCCAGGTTTCCTGTAACTTCACTTCCTGCAGTGAGGGAACTGCCAGAAGGCTGGACCTCAGTGTCCGGGCTGAACGATGGGGGTGGAGACAGTTAGACTATTGGTCCATCTAGCTTAGCAGTATCACTATGCAAAGCCTCTCCAGGGGTCATCCCTCCACCCTGGACATACCTAGATATGTCTAGGATTGAACTTAGCAAGCTGATGTGGACTACCTTGGAACTATGGCCAACTGCTGACAACTATTCAGACTGTGAAGAAATATGGTATGACTTAGGAAGAAATATGAAAGCTTCTTGTAGTTAGAAAGAGGAGGAAAGAGAAGCAAAGCAGTTGCAGAGAAGGAGGGCACCCTGCCCTTGCATGTGGCAGTGTTCGTGTACGCAGTGCCTTGCAGGCCCAAGCAGAAAACCTCCTAACTCCATAAATCCCCATCTCTAGCCATATGTAGACAACAATATCCATGCCACAAAGGGATTGACAACGGGAAAGAAAACAGCCAGTATCCTAATGCCTTTATCTAAATCAATTGTGAAGTTGCTTCTAATTCAGTGGTATACAGTTCTTCTAATTGCCCCTTCACCAACCTTAGTTGTTCTTTTCATTTTGTAAAGTTCCTTGCCGGGGGCGGGGCGGGGGGAGGTTAAAAGCCACCTAAAGGTAAAGGTAAAGGGACCCCTGACCATTAGGTGCAGTCATGACTGACTCTGGGGTTGCGGCGCTCATCTCGCTTTATTGGCCGACGGAGCCGGCGTACAGGCAGCATGACTAAGCCGCTTCTGGCAAACCAGAGCAGTGCACGGAAATGCCGTTTACCTTCCCGCCACTTCTACTTGCACTTTGATGGGCTTTCGAACTGCTAGGTTGGCAGGAACAGGGACCGAGCAACGGGAACTCACCCCGTCGCTGACCTTCTGATCGGCAAGACCTAGGCTCTATGGTTTAACCCACAGCGCCACCTGCGTCCCAAAAGCCACACAGACATATATTAAATAAACAAAATATTTTTTAAAAAATAATGATGTAGAGTTGGGGAAAGGTGGATAAGCTAAAGTAAATCAGGGATGGGGTACCTGTGGCCTTTCAGATGTTGCTGGACTCCAACTCGTATCACCTCAACCATCATGACCAGTGGTCAGGGATGGTGGAAGTAACATTCGGAGGGTCAAAGGTTCCCCATCCCTGGGCTGAAGAAAGTCATATAGTTCAACCTAGACTACGATATGCTATAGTTAATTATTTTTTTCAAAAAAAAAACAAACAAACTACCATGACAAGGCTAAACCCCTCCCATACATTTAAATGTTTCATCATACTGAAACAATATGATCAAAATTCCATCAAATGCTCACCACAGTCACCATTTCGAAGGACATGTTCTCACCTCCAAACATTCCATTTGGCCCTAATACCCACACATAGGTTGCAATATTTAATATGAGAACAGGGAGAAATGGTCTAATTACGGTATATTTCCACTCAGAGATTTCTGGAGCATTTATCTGGAAAGTTGGTAAGTCTCCAAAAGCATCAGAACCAAAGCTTGATTTTGAATGCCCAGAAGAATCTGTATGCTGGCTAACAATTAGGCCGGCCGAACTGAAACAATGCATCTTTATCATCTGAAGCAAGATTATCAGCAGGGTGCAAGTGCTCAGGCAATTTAGCTGGGATTCATGCCTGTCAATTTAAACTACAGATGAAATGCAACTTCAGGAAGGCACTGGGGCTGCCTTTCCCCTAAACACTCATAGAACAAGCTAATCAGCAAAAGAAACATATTGCACAAACTGTTTAGATATTCAAGCTTTAATTTTTTTTTTTAAATTTACAGGTATTTGTCACCTTCTTGCACAAACAAAAATATGAATTACGTATCCCAATGGAAGTCTTTTCGAATTCTTTTTTAGTATTTTGTTTAAAAAGCTATTAGTACAT